TGGTGGGCTGCATTCATCTCTGGCCTCAGCACCACACTGGAAGTCCCTTCACAGGCCACAAAGCAAGGGAAAGGAAAAACAGACACGTGGCTAGGAAAAGAAAAGCCCTGGTCTCCTCGAAAACATGATTCTCAATGCAGGAAATCCCATGGAATCTACAACAGCAGCTCCTAACACCAATGAGTTTAGCAAAGGTGCAGAATTCTGGTTCAAATAAACACCACTGAAAAGAAGAGCTTTATTTATTGGTACAGGGTCTTGCTACACAGCTTGGACTCAAGAGTGATCCTCCTTTCACAGCCTCCCCAGGCATGTGTCACCACGCCCAGGTTCAGTAGCCAGCACAGCGCAGGGCCAGCATAGCATGCAGTACTGGGGATCGAATCCAGGTCCTTGCACTTGCCAGCTTTAGACCACCGAGCTATCTTCTCAGCCCCATATTTCTAGATACTTGCTATATACTGCTGAAAATTACCTTTTTTAGCACTATTTATAGCACCACCAAAAAAATGGCATATGTAAGTACAAACCTAACAAAGTATGTATACAAGATTAGCATGTTCAAAGTTGTGAGATGCTAATAAAAGACATCAAAAACATCAAAGAAGGCCACATTTAGGGACCAGCAGACTCACTGTGAAGTCATTACCTCTCTCAAGCTGGTCAACAGCTACCATGCAGAACTCACCAAGACCCCAGCAGGGTCCCTGCAGAGACCCACAGCTGATTCAGAACTTTGTATCAAGGGGAAAGAAAATGACTAGCGCAGTCCTGAGAAACAACACAAACGCGCAGACAGCGGACAGAGAACACACTCTGCCTCAAGGTCGGCCAGGGTGGTGCAGCAGTGGCAAGAGGCCAGCTGGGACTAGCAGGGGACAAGGCCCAGAAACAGACACACCCAGGCAGCCAAAGGATTTCTAGGCAGAGACACAAAGTCAACTGAAAGGGGAGGGTAGTCTCTTCAAGACATGGCTCGATGGGGCCGGGAGATGGCTCAGTAGAGTAAGCGCTTCCCTGGCAGGCATAAAGGCCTCAACCCCCGGTTCCACCAAAAAAAAAAAAAAAAAAAAGACATGGCTGGAATACAACTGCCCAAAAGAGGCAGAGCCGGGAAGATTGCAAACCTAAGGCCAGCCTGGGTAACCTAGCAAAATCTTGCCTCAAAATTAAAAACAAACAAAAAAACCTGAGCATGTGGTCACATCTGCAATCTTGGCATTTGAGAGGCTGAAGTAGGATTGCTCAGTTCAAAGCCAGCCTGGGCTACACAGTGAGTTCAAGACCAGCCTGAACTATGTACAGGAACACCCTACCTTAAAAAAAGAAAGAAAAGAGGCCAGGGAGATGGCTCAGTGGAATAAGTGCTTGCCTGGCAAGCGCCAAGTCCTGAGTTCAATCCCTGGTACCACCAAAAAAGGAAAGAGGACAAAAAAAAAAAAAAAAAAAAAAAAAAAGGCAGGGCTGGGCACTGGGGATGTAGCTTAGTACTCTCTGGATTCAATCCCCAGTAGCACCAAAAAAAGGGGAAAAAAAAAATAATAAAACTTCCAAAAGAAAACACAGGAGAGCAGAGTTCTCAGCTACGATATCAGATATATAATCCGCTTAAAAAATTGATATGCTAAGGGCCAGGGAGATGACTCAGTGGAACAAGTGCTTCCCTGGCGAGCGAGCGCAAGGGCCCGAGTTCAATCCCTGGTTCCACCAAAAAAAAAAAAAAAAAAAAAAAAGATATGCTATGCACTTCATCAATTTTTTGAGCAGAATCGGGGACTAAACTCAGACCCTTGCGCTTATCAGGGAAGCGCTTATTCTATGAGCCATCTCCCCAGCCCCCGAATTTAAACTGCAAAAGATAGTGTTGAGAGCTGGGTGTGGTAGTACATGCCTGTAATCCCAGCACTCAGGAGGCTGAGGCAGGAGGATCACTGAGAGAGACCAGGCTGGGCTACAAAGTGAACTCAAGGCCAGCCTAGACTGCATAGTAAGACCCTATCTCAAAAAGATCAAAAAGAAAGTGTTGGGAGAAAAACAGACTAGGGGAAAACCTGCAAATCATTTCTGACAAAAAAATCAGATATCCATATTATGAAAAGATCTTTCAAATGCAACAATAAAATTAAACTCAATAAGAAGTAAGTGAGCCATAAACAATTATTTTAGGGCTAGTGAGATGGCTCAGTGGTCTAAAGCACCTACCTAGAACAAGCTTAGCAAAGCACAGGGACCACGGTTCAATCCCCCAGCACCACACGCCAGCCAGCCCCGCCCCCTGGTGGGCCGAGCTGGCCACACACACACAAATAAATAAAATTTAAAAACAACAACAACAACAACAACAATTATTTTACAAAAGACACACAGCCAAAGATTTCAAGCAAAGGCACTCTGTCTCAGCAGCACAACAAATTGCAATACATATGTTGTACCTATCAGTACAATCCACATCGAGCCCTGATGACAAGCAGCAGCAAGGAGGTGTGCCACACCCCTGCAGGACACCAACCTGCATGGCACTCTAGAAAAGCTGGCTGTTTCTTACAAAGGGGAACATGCACTTATATGACCCAGCAATCAGCCTCCTAGGTAGGCATTTATGCAAATGAAAGCAAAGTTCATGTTCACTGAGAAATCTGTATCAGAGCAATTACAGTTGCTTTATTCAGAAATCTTAAATAGGGCTGGAGAGATGGCTCAGTGGTCTAAAGCACCTACCTAGAACAAGCTTAGCAGAGCACAGGGACCGCGGTTCAATCCCCCAGCACCACATGCCAGCCAGCCCCGCCCCCTGGTGGGCTGAGCTGGCCACACACACACACACACACACACACACACACACACTAAATAAATGTAAAAATAAATAATGTTTTTAAAATTAAAAAAAAAAAATCTTAAATAGAAGCAACCCAAGATCCTCAAAGGATGAAAGAATGAAGAAGTCACAATTTGCCTAGACCATTAAGCACCAAAAGCACTGGCAAATGCAACAAACCACATCCCCTCCAGTGTACCATAGAGAGCAAGAGCCCCCAACCCAGCCTGGAGAAGGCACACAATCACAGAGCTAGAGAACAGGGAAGTAAGTTTCCCAGGGCGAATCCAAGGAAAGGAGCAGCCATGGGTGACAGAGCTGCTATTCTCACTGTCGTGGTGGGGAGTAAATGGCTCTGTCTGAACTCATAAGCACAGACCTAAAACCAACTTTACTGAATGTAGCTAAGTCTAAATACAAACATATAAGTACTTAGTGACATATACCCTACCAGATTGAGTACCCATACATAAACGAATGTGAAACGAAGGAAGAAGGAAGGGGCTGGTGAGATGGCTCAGTGGTCTAAAGCACCTACTTAGAACAAGCTTAGCAGAGCACAGGGACCGCGGTTCAATCCCCCAGCACCACACGCCAGCCAGCCCCGCCCCCTGGTGGGCTGAGCTGCCCCCCCTCACACACACATAAATAAATAAAATTAAAAAAAAAAAAAGAAGGAAGAAGGAAGCTCATCATTATAGCAGATGCCAAAGAGCAAGCATGCTAGGAATGATGCAAGGTAGAAAGCCCACGTCAGCAAGACATGATTCAGATATAGCTCATAAATGACGCTGGAATCAGGAAGTAATGGGATGGTGCCTAATAAGATATGGGACATTTGCATAGTCTCAAAGTGTCATCATTCACCAAAGAAAAAATAAATGACTATCCTCTGTAGAAGTCTCATGAAAATCATTGTAGCCAAGTGTTCAAGATCAGCATCACCAGTCATGGGTTAAAGTGATATCATGGTCTCCTGATGTCGTAACTTCTGCGGCATCCTTCTCAAAACAATGACTAAATATAGTCCCAGTGAGTATCAGACAAGCCTACAATCCAAAGTGTCTACAAATTAGCTGGTCTGCACTCTTGGAAAACGTCAAGAGCATCAAAGACTAAGACAATGGCCCAGACTAAAGACCAAAGAGACATGAAGTCTAAACCCTGTAAGATCCTGGATTCGGAAAGGCTACAAAGAATGGCTTCAGAACAACAGACAGAATTTGAACATACACTGTGGATTGCTGGAAAATGTCCTGGCTTTGATCAATACACTGGGTTTAGGTAAAGTAACAGTCTTATTTACTAGGGATAAAGGGGCATTATGTGATGTCACATGTATGTGTGAGAGAGACTAGTGAAAACGGGTCACAAAGTCAACAACTGGTGGATTCAGACTGGGTTATCAGAGGAGTCTCTTGTGTGCCTATTACAACTTGTACATGTTTGAAATCACATCAAAATTGAAAAGAATAAACAAATATTAAAAAATCACCAATGATAAAACTGCAGTTAGAACCCCACAGAATCTATTCCAAAACTACTCAACTCTGACACTGTTTTAAATCCTGGCCTAGGGCCGGGGAGATAGCTCAGTAGAATAAGTGCTTGCCTGGCAAGCACAGAGTCCTGAGTTCAATCTCCAGTACCGCAAAAAATCAGTCAATCCATGCATCCATCCATCCTGGCCTTACCAGGGCGTACTTGCTGGCCTCCACTGGGAAGCCCATGACCCTCATATGCCCTCAGGAGTACTTCCACTCCAGCACTGCCTCTAGCTAAGAAATGGAGGGGATGCACAGCATCATCTGCTAACGCCTGTTCTTGTTCTGTTTTGCACTGTTCTCAAAACACAATGAAAGACAAAGAAAGAACAAACACTTTCACACAGCACACAAGGGACCCTGAGCACGCAATCAACAGGACTTGCAGGGCAGGTGACATGCACACTGAAAACTACTACCACACTGCAGGTGTGAGGAAAAATAGTGCAGTAAGCTCTGTGTGCTCACCGGTTCATGCAGTTTTACAGCTATATGCAAGAAGGCTTTTTTAGTTTTTAAAAATAAGGGATGGGCTCTGGAAAAAAAAAATGCCAAAGAGCAAATAGTAAATTGAAGTTTAAAATATCTGGATGAAGGAAACGTTTGGGATGAGACTAAAGTTTAGAACCATCGAAAAGTACCTGAAATGGTTGCTGCTGGGATGAAAAAGCAGCAGAAACCTTTGGCGGAAGCTGGGTTGCTATAGCAACAGGAGTCCCAGTCTGCCCATCCTTGCCTGTCACAACCTTTACCTGAGAGAAATATTTTGAGAAAAAAAGCAACATAATTTTTAAGACTGCTCAAAATTGTGTCAGAATTTCATTGCTGTCAGCTCACTGATTCAGGTGGTTAAAAATGAAATGCTTTTGTATCACATCCTATAAAAGGACACTGAACTGACAGATTTATAATATAACATCTGCCAATCTCCAGGCACTCCAGTTTGGGTGAAAGGAAACATCCTACGCTTTGAACCTTCAGATCGTAGAGTGGGAATGGCAGACTCAAGTAACAAGCCCCATGGCTCCCCAGGCCAGCTGGACCCCAGCACTGTTATCTACCCCTTGGTTCACCAAGCAAAGCACTACTGCAGTAGCAAGCTGGAAAGGGGATTTATTTCTCTTCCTACTTACAGATAAGGTGACTGAGCTAACAAAAAATGCTGGTCTAAACAAAAAGAGAACTGAATTTCACTGTTTTGTGACAATAAAGGGAAGTCCTTCAAACAGTCCTATAGACCTGAAAAACAAAAACACTCCGTCCTGGGAAGGGCGCTGCAGAAGACAGATGGCAAAGCCACAGATACGTCTATGTAGGCCAGGGAGGACGCTGGAGCAGAGACAAGCTTTTGCTCAACAAAAGCTGGTTTCTTTGCACAAGGGCTGACAAAGATTTAAATTGTTGTAGCTCTATCATAAAACAAAGTAAGCTCCACCAACATAGTGTACACTACACGACACAGAGGCACAAAATACAGTGCATTACAGTACAATTCTCTGTCACCCTGGTGTTAGGAAGCACAAATAAGAGGACCTTGGGAATGACTATGGTATGGGATCTACACCATTTATTAGAATGGTGTACCTACTGTAGCACCAAAACATATATTGTATATTTCTATCTTAAGTATCACTTAATAGGTATTTGCAGAAGTGTGGATTTCTTTTTTCCTTTTCTTTTCTTTCTTTCTTTTTTTTTTTTTTTTTTTTTGGTGAAACTGGGGATTGAACTCAGGCCCTTGCCCACTGAGCCATCTCTGCAGCCAAAAGTGTAGACTTCAAATGACACCTGTAATGCCAGCACTCTGGGAAACTGAGGCAGGAGGAATCCAAGTTGAAGCCTAGCCTGAGCAACTTAGTGAGACTTTGTCTCAAAAAATAAACAAGGCAACGTGAACAGTGAACATAAAATGCTGTGCTTATTATTATTCCCGACAAGATCTTGAGATTGTTTGATGCTTTAAATTTTTTAATTACATTTTTCTAGATGTTTTTTGGTACACTACAGTATTTTTTCCTAGAATTTAAAGTTTTCTGTGAAATTTCTGTCTTTATCTGACAGCATTAAATATTACATTTAAAATTGTTTTAAAAATTAAAAAACAAGCCAACCAGATAGCTCAGTGGGTTATAGTGCCTGCTTAGGCAGGCTAGGGACCAGGGTTCGATCCCCAGAGTGCTGTGTTGGCCCCGCTCCTGGGACGCACTGAGATGGCAAATTGATTCTGGGCACGGAGGCACATGCCTGTAATCCCAGTGCATGAGAGGCTAAAAACATGGAGGATCACTACAAGTCCAATCTTTGTAGTGAGACCCTGTAGACCCTGTACTAAGTACAAAAATCAAGTAATTAATTAATTAAAAAGCAAGATCTAAGACTATAGCGCAGTATAAATGCTGAGTATGAACCCTGGCACTATAAAATGAAATAAGTAATACATAAACAAAATTTTATAAAAATATATTCAGTGATCTATAATTTTGGCTGGTGATTTAAACTCCTTGTTAAAAACTATGTTGGCAGTTTCTCTGGACAGAGCTACGTGAGTAGCTTACTTGAGACTGGTAACCAGGTGACAGGTGCTAAGCCTTACATCTTCCACAGGACCTTCTCTGCCAGCCAAAGCAGGGCTAATAGCTGCCAGTGTCCACCAGACTCACAAACCCAGGCAAAGGAGGCAATGGGGCCACACTGGCTAAGTCATGGCCCTAGTTCCCAATGACAGCACCTAGTGCTGAGATGGCACCAATCACATCCCCGTGAGCACCCTCTTCCCAACACAGCTATCCGGGAAAAGCTCTCCCTGGCATGAAGGGAAATACTTCCTCCACCTTACCCCTCCATCAGGCCCTGATAAACCCAAAATCTGTTTAACACTCCAGGTTCAAGTTACTTTTCAACTCACTGCTACATCATTCTAATGTGCATCATACAGATCTTCTACACTACTGAGCTTTTGTTTCTTACCTCATCGTTGATAACCTCAGATTTTTCCTCCTCATCCTCTTCTTCCTCCTCTTCTTCCTCAATGTCCAAATCGTTCTGCCTAAGATATGCTTGCAAGGGGGCATAATGTTTCTTCTTAAAGGCTAGGAAATCCATCATGTTCCCCTGAAGATGTTGTAAGAAAAACAGTTCGATCAGATACTCCTTGAAGGCCTCCCTGAGCACCTCCATCTCCTTGTAATGGTAGTCCAGGCACTGCTTCCGCATCTGCGCCATCTCCTGGGAGGCTGGAGGGATCTCCTCCAGCTTCTTGGGAACTTTCTTCACTCCTGAACTGCCCGAAGATGGGAGGGGGAGGCTGGAAAGGCCTGGGGGCATGGCAGTTCTGGACGGGCTGGTGGGTGGTGGAGGGGATGTCATCCCGAATGCCGAGGGCCCCCCGACCCCAGGGAGCAGCATGCCAGGAGCCCTCTCAAATCCCATAGGTCTGCTCGGTGGCTGTCCCTGCAGTGCCTGCTGCTGGATCAACTGGCCCTGGATGATGCTGCTAATCTGGGGTGGCAGGCTCGCTGTGGTGATGTGGCCTGGACTGGCCAGGGGCTGCAGGCTGGCCCCACCTGCAGCTGCAGGACTCTGGGGCCCCAGATGATGAATAGTGCCTCCCGACTGTGCATGTGGTTGGGACAGTCTCCGTTCACGGGCCACAATGGGAGTTCCTGAATGCTGGAGTTGGACCTGGGCTCCCTGAGCCATCGGGGCGAGGCCTGGTGCCTCCTGAAACACAAAATGCCCGCCACTGGACGGGCTCAAGCTGATCTGCCTCACAAGCACACTGGCATCCACAAAGCCTCCAGTGGGGCTGCTGCTGCATATGCCCAGCCCTGGGCCTGGGGCCCCAGCACGCACACTCTGCAGGGCCTGCCCAGGGCCCGGGCTGGGCTGCGTGGGGCTCTGTGTCTGGACCTGCTGGGATAGGGGAGAGGTAACTTGGATGTATGATGGGGAGCCATGCTCAAACCGCCTCTGCTGTGCACTGAACTGGAAGCCTGGCGAGGTAGGGCTGGGCAGCGGCAGGGGGGCCAGTGTAATCTGCTGGTTTCCTCCCACGACAGGACCGACGTTCTGCAGGGTGATGTTCACATTCTGCCCAGCCACGGGACTTCTGCTCATCAGCTGCTGTATCTGGTACCCAGGTGACTGGGGTGCAGATGGGCTGGCTGATGGAGCAAAGGGTGCCGCAGGGGATGGGGGCAGGTTTGGATGAGCCGGCTGCTCTTCCTCGCTGCCTGTAAAGGACCTGGACCTCTGCAGCGGATGCTGGACATTCTGAGGACCACTGCCATGGTGCATTATCACCTCCCTCTGCTATCCCACGTAATATTCTCCTAGGAAATCAAAATTAAAAGCAAGTTACTGGGAAGCAGATAAAATTGCTTGATTGCCACTTAGTACAATTACCACCTGCCGCCTATGGAAGCTATTCCAAAGGTATGAGCCCACTAGCAGCTGAATAAGACCACAAGGCATCTTACTAATGCACCCCCCAAAAAGGACAGGAGCCCATCTACATCATACCCACAGACTACTTTTCTCTCTCTTTCCTTGCCACCCAAGATGTGGGAGAAAGGTCAAAGGAAAAAAGGTCAAGAGAAGAAGGTAGCACTGGGCCAGGTTGTGAAGAAGCATGAGACCAACATGCTGATTTGGTAACAGCCTGAGGACTTTAGCAGTGAACGGGACATGGAGCCCAAAAGGGACTTCACCCACTATGTCCAGTGATCCTGTGGCATCCAGCTGCAGCACCGAAGGGCTCTCCTCTAAGCAGGCTGACAGCGCCTCCTGCAACTCACTGTGCCCAGCCTTATACATTCAAAGTCACACAGCTGCCTGAGCTGGCCCAGAGGACAGACCTGAGATGGAGCAGACAGTTGGCCTGAGTAGGGGGAAAAAACTGCCAGCAGAGAAGACAGCCCCACCAAGAAACAGCCAATCCTTAGAGTAGGGGGTCAATGTACAAAAGGGGCCCATCAAGGAAGGAGAGGGTGGAGAACACCCAGCATTAGATCTTGCCAACTCTGCAACCTCTACAGGGATGGGGCCAGAATGTGGGGACCACTGTGTAGGGAACTCCTCAGGCACTAAAGTAGTTTTCTCCCCATGAGAAACAATGATTCAAATGCAGTGACAGATGCACCAACTAGCACCCGATCCAGAACCAAGTCCCCAGGAGTTACTGGACAATACCCAAAAAAGGGCAGCTGTTCCTGAGAGCCAACCGACTCCTGGCAAGAAGAAGAAGTAGATCAAGGAAACCTCAATCTCAAAAGGATGGAACTGTGTGGTGGGTACCAGGCTGAGCAGGGGCTACCACACAGCTGCTCCAGCACTGTCAGGGACTAGCTTCTCACCTTCCTGGGGTTTCTGATGCCCCAACCCTGACCAGACAGTGACCAAAGGGCTTCCTCCTGCTCCTCCAAGACAGACTGCGCCCCTTACATCTTCAGAGCATCACTGCTTACAACAAAATGGACCGGGGATAAAGAAATCATGAACCTGAAGAAGGTACAAAACTTAAGAGAACTCTTGCAGTCCTGAATCCCAAATTGAACTGTGACATGCGTGAAATCAAAATTATATAATTTACAAATGCATGAATCTATTCCTAGCACACATCACAAACAAGCGCAAATTTAAACGGGGGAAAAGTCACAGTCTGACTGCAATGTAAGTCCCCAAAGACAGAGCTGAAAATCCAGGCCAACTCAGCCAACTGAAGGGAAAGGAGGAGCAACGAGAGGAAGAGCCTGTGCTGCCCACTCAGCCCTCTGCTCTCACACTGTGGTGCTGTGGGGACCTCTGCTGTGCTCACTGCCTACCAAAGAGCTCCTTCCTTCATCTCTTAAAGCAAACGATGAGGGCAGTGAGAGCCTAGAAAAACCGCTGAGCAGACACATGCAGCTGTGTTTGGATTACATGTAGAATACCCTAAGGCATCAAGGTCACCAGTGGGAAAAGAAACACAGGCACAGAGGTTCTTTAAGATTCATTGGGGCTGGGGAGATAGCTCAGTAGAATAAGTGCTTGCATGGCAAGTGCAAGGACCTGAGTTCAATTCCCGGTTCGCCCCCCACCCCAAAAAAATCGTTACGTCCATGTACCAGTTCTCCACAATAAATGTGTCCATTTATATATGGTAAATGTGTACTAATAGGGGCCGGGAGATGGCTCAGTGGAATAAGGCTTCCCTGGCAAGTGCAAGGGCCTGAGTTCAATCCCCGGTTCCACCCAAAAAAAAAAAAAAAGAAGAAGTTGACAAAAACGCTAAGTCCAGTAGAAAACAGGCGAGAAAAGACCATCTGCAAAACAAGAAAAATATCAATTTTGCTGGGCATGGTGGCGCATCCCTGTAATCCCAGCACTCTGGAGGCAGAGGCAGGAGGATCACTGTGAATTCGAGGCCAGCTTGGGCTACAAAGTGAGCTTAAGGCCAACCTGAACAGCATAGTGAGACTTTGTCTAAAAAAAAAAAAAAAAATCAATTTAACAGTGCAGCAAGGCTTGGTGGCACACTGTGGAAATCAGTGTGGTAATTCCTCAAAAAAACCAGTGCCTGTCATCCTGGCACTCAGGAGGCTGTAGCAGGAAGATTGCTGCAAATTCGAAGGCAGCCTGGGCTACATAATGAGTTTTAAACAAGAAGGAAAAGAAAACAGCTCAATACTTCAGAGAATTGGGTCCCTTCCACCTGTCACTAATAAACACAACACAAAGTATTTCTCCAGCCCCCATGAGCAAGATCCCTGGCTCTCTACTTTCTCACGCTGCTGGAGTACAGCTGGGATGCAGGGTTGGGAGCTGGGAGTTCACAAGCCAAAACCATTTCTCGGAAAGTGAGGTACAAACAAAAGTGCAGAAGTAAGGGGCATCACGATGATCCCATCACCCTTGACTCAGTAATCCTACCTCTGAGAAATCTATCCTAGGTAGATTAATCCACCAACTAAAAACACACATGTATAGCTGGGTGCAGTAGACAATAATCCCAGTACCTGGAGGCTGAGGCAGGGAGACTGAGTTTGAGGCTAGCCAGAGCAATTTAGCAAGATCTTGTCTCAAACTATAAAAATGAAAAGGGCTAAGGATCGTCTCTGTTGGTGGGAGTGTAAACTGGTGCAACCACCATGGAAATTACTGTGGTCATTCCTCAAAATACCAGGATTGGAGGTCCCATTTGACCCAGCTACTCCCCTTCCAGGTATTTTTCCAGAAAAAATGAAACAATCATACCACAGCAATATATGTGCACCCATGTTTATAGCAGTGCAATTTTTCACAGCTAAAATCTTATCAACATCTCACTTGGAAGTTGCTTAGTGTAAAAAACTGATATAAGATCCAAAAGGTACAACAGATATTGTGAAAGGGAAAGAATTGCTTAAAAGGAAAGAACAACTGGGATGGGAAAAAGAAAAGAAGGAGTGGCAATGTATATACTCACACAAGGCAGCTAAGATAATTGTATTACTAATTTTTATCAGTTCATTGAAAGGAACAGTTAGTGCTTATATTGTTATCAATTCTGCATGCCTATACCGCGTAATCTGAGCAACTACTTTAAGATCGTTATCTTATACGTAACGTAATAACTATTGTTAATTTCCTGTCATTTTGCTTTGAAATTGTGTATTTTTTTACTGTTTTGTTTTGTTTTGCTTCCTCTCCTTAAAATAAAATAAAAAATAATTAAAAAAAGAGCTGGCCATGTAGTGCACTGTGGAAACTCTGGGTTCAGTCCCCAGCACTGAGCAGGGGAAAAAAGAAGGCAAAGGTGTAACCAATAAGTTCTATGTAAGTGATGGCAAAACTTTTGGCACTTTCAGTAACAAGACTGCCTAGAGGGAGAATATGTAACAAAGATGGAAAGTGTTCACATTTTTGTTTTGTTTTTCAAGACAGAGACTTGCTGGATAGATAGCCCATGCTGGTTCTGAACCTATACGTAATCCAAGCTGGCCTTAAATTCATGAGCCTCCTGCTTCAGCCTCTGGGATCCTAGGCATGTGCTACAATTCCCAGACAAACTCCTTCATTCCCTTGCTGGGCCTTGAATGAAGAACGTGCATAATGAGCTACATTCCCAGTCCTTTTATTTTTTTCTCAGGCAGAAATTCACTAAATTGCCCAGTTGGAGTCCAACTTGCAACCCTCCTGCCTCAAACTTCTAGAGACCTAGGATTATAGGTCACACACACCATCAAGTGAGAAAAGCAGATATTAACTGTGCAGGTTTATCACTACTATATAAAAATTCTCAACAGAAAGAGTTCACTGAGACACATCAAAATGTTAATACTGACCTCCCTGATGAACTGTGGCACAGCCACACAAGAGGCCACGGCCGCTGCCACCACAGCACAGGGAATGCGAGCCCAGAGGCCACACCAGCCGTCCAGCTCAGACCACACCTATGGTCACTGGCAGGACAATCTGGAGAAGGCAAAATCACAGGGCCAAAGATTAGGGAAGGACAAACAGGACAGACTGAAAGATGCGGGAGGAGGCTGCTTCTACAGCTTGGCTTCTAACAGTGATTATACTAAGATGAAAAGTATGCAACAAAAACAGCAGAACCGCACAGCAAAAATCATGAATTTTTAATATAAGTGAATTATACCTTGATTGTTTAACAAAATGATTTCAGACTTAAGTGAACTTATACCTGAGTTAGAGAAACAAACACAACTATACAGAAACTTTGTCTAAAGACACGTCCAAAAAATAAGATGCTGGCACCCCAACCAGAGCAGCACACCGGCTACCACCACGCACGGTTTTTAGCTGGCTGTGCGTCTTACTCTCTCTCTCAGTCCTCTTCTATCACACTGGACTTGCACAGACACATGGGACAGCTGTCACGCTCACTTCAGAGTGATCAGACTGTGTCCCGAACCATCCCCTCTGCCAGTCACTCTGAAAGGTACCTCACCCTGCTGCAGAAGGCTGCCACAGATCTGGGCTTCTCTGTCCCTCTCCCTACCTGCTCCAGCTACACTGTGCTCCTCTGGACTTCCACAGGGCATCTTTCTAGATTTCACAAGGACAGCCAGCCAAATAGCTCAGCAGATTAAAGCACCTGCGAGCAGACACAGAGGCAGGAGCAGGGGCCGGGGACCCGATTCCCAGGGCCTGCTGAGAAGGCAATTGAGACTGGGCGTGGCGAGCATGTCTATAATCCCAGCTCATGGGAGGCTGTAAACAGGCGGATCACTACGAGTCCAATCTAGTAGTGAGACCCTGAACACCCTGTAGACCCTTCCCTAAATAACAAAAAAAAAATAAGGGGAATGAGACTAGGTGGTAGCTGACTGTGTCTCACTTATGCTCTCAATAGCAGCAGTCCTTAACCTTCTTTGGACCAGACAGGTTTCATGGAGGACAATGGGGGTCACAGTGCAGAATCAGTGGAAGCCCCAAACTGTTGTCCTGCAACTAGGTGATCTCATCTGATGGATGGTGGGGGATAGTAACATCCAAAGTGTGTTACTTTGGGGCTGGTGAGATGGCTCAGTGGTCTAAAGCACCTGCTTGGAACAAGCTTGGCAAAGCAGAGGGACCACGGTTCAATCCCCCAGCACCACATGCCAGCCAGCCCCGCCCCCTGGTGGGCTGAGCTGGTCACACACACACACACACACACACACTCACACACAAATAAATGTTAAAAAAAAAAAGTGTGTTACTTGTGCCTAATCTAGTCTGCAATCTCAGTTTAGTAGCTGGCACTGCAGAAAACCCTGCTTCACAAAGACAGAATGTTAGAAACAGAAGCAGGCTTTTCAGTGTTTTGTGGCAATCTCAGGGTATTACATCTTGACTTTAATCCAGCACATATAGAGATTTAAAATTATTTCAAACATACCTTTTGCCTGTTTTTTGCTTTTTGACAGAGTGTCTCACTATGTAGCCCAGAATGGCCTTGATCTGTAACAATCCTACCACACAAGCGCTGGAGTTTCAGGCATGAGCCACAATGCTCGACTTCAAATACACATTTTTTTTTCAATGTATTTAGTACAAGGCCTACAGGGTCTCACTACACAGATCAGACTCATAGTGATCCTCCTGTTTTCAGCCTCCCAAGCGCTGGGATTATAGGCATGGTGGAGTCTCAGTCCCTGTCTCAGTGCACCCACGGGCATGCTGGCACGCTGGGAATTGAACCCAGTCCGAGCCTGCCTACGCAGGCGCTTTAATCCACTGAGCTATCTGGCTAGCCTTAAATGTACTTTTAAGGCCACATTGTCTGCACTCTCGGGCGACCGCTCCTCTTCTAGCACCCACAAAGTCAGTCTCCAGCCTCGGTCACAGATGGGCTGCAGATCCACTCCTGCCCAGCTCAGGGCTCTGTCTCTGGAGGCTGAGGGGTACAGTGCTCAAGCTCTGCTGAGAGCTCATCGGTGATGGTGACCCGCCGGGAGGAAGGAGGCCCTGGCTCAGGCTCTTTCGCAGTCTCCCTAGTGTCTGAGGCTCGCCAGAACTCCCAGCGCTCACTGTCACCCTGTAATTCCCACTGAACTGTACCTGACAACCCAAACACAGTTGTCGTTCTCCCGAGTTGCCGAGCGGCTTGAATGTGGCACAGGAGTAAATTCTGCAACCCATTCCACGTCCCTGAAATGTGCTGTCAGGGTGAGCACTTGTTTAAAAGAAATCTCTGAAGCGGCTCTCCTGACTCAGGACTCTGGCTAGAGGTCAGCCTTTACAGAGCAACCTCAGTTCTGGGTAAAGGAGACGAGTGTGCTCTGCGTCCATCTCACAGATGTATGCCAACTGACAGAAATTAAAGATATGCATTTTAATGTAACCAATCATCTTTTTTTTTTTTTGGCGGAACCAGGGATCGAACTCAGGCCCTTGCGCTTGCCAGGGAAGCGCTTCATCTTCCTGGCCCCTCAATCATTTTACTCACAACCTGTAGGACCCTGCTAAATCCGGGTGACATTTTTCAGCTAGGTACTATTTTCAGCCTTATGGGCGATACACTGCAAAGACTCACACTCAGCAGCTACCTCTTCAACCTGACCCCAGAACCAGAAGGCCATCCAATCACAGCAGCCACAAAAGGAGAGGTCCAGCTCTCCTGCGGTGCGGTCACTCAAAGACTTGAATATGGAGCATGCCTGTATTCCCAGCACTAGGAGGCTTACAACAAAAGCATCACTGTTAAGTCTGAGCTGCACAGTGAAACCCTGTACCAAATACATAAAATTAAAAAAAAAAAAGACTTCAATAGACCTGCAGTGTGGCGGGTGCACGTCCTTGTGCACATCTTGGAACACCAGCTGCACAAAAGACAAGCACTGCTGCCTTCTGGGACACTAAGACTCGTCAGCCTGGGCTGTGGGTCTCAGGGCACGTGAGCCCTGACAAGTGTACCTCACTATCCCATGCTAGCCCCCAACCACACAGGGACAAAGGAGCACATGTGGCCTCTGAATGACAACCCCCTCAGAGCTCGGGTAGATGTCCTCAGCAGCAGGCAGGACCAGTTCTTCACCCACAGAAAAGACTTCCTGGCTTTAACAATGCGGCTGCCACCAAGAACTATGCCTTCAGTCACCTGCATTTGATGGCACAAGGCACAGTGGCTGCTTCTGTTCTTGGGTTCACGTTTCTTTGGGAAAACTTTAGGGCAGGGCACTTGGTCTCCCTTAGTGAGCACCGACAAAGCTCTTGCAGCTTCTGCAGAGCTAGTTACCAAAACACCTAACCTCTCTTATAGCAGCAAATCAAGAGCTTCAGTATGACTCTTGGCAGTACATTTTCTGTTAGGCACAGCTTCTTTTTGTGGTAGTCTGAGAGTCCTTTACTGTCTCCTTACTGGGTCTTTAACATTCCTAAAAAGCTCCCCAGTGATGGCTGTTTTTCTCTCATTTTGTCCAGGGCCAGCCTATGGACTCCCAAAACTGTGACTGAGAATGTGGAAAGAAGGCAGAGATGGAAATATTAAATGAATACCAGGAGAGCTACATGTGGATAAACAGACTGAAGTGCCTGCGTAGGCAGGCTCAGCACGGGTTTGCGCCCTGGCTTGCCCCGCCCCCAGGGCACACGGAGGCGGCTAATGATTCCAGGCATGGCGGGCGCGCCTGTAATCCCAGTGCTTGGGATGCTGAAAACAGGAGGCTCACTAGGAGTCTGATCTATGCAGTGAGACCCTGTACCAAATACAAACAAATAAAACATAAACATGAAGTGTGAGCTCCTGACAACGCTACCACGGAGGTAGCTCTGCTGTCCCCTGCAGCTCCCCGAAGTGCCGGTGGAGGTCTGCGTGCAGCTGACTTCTCAGTCTGTGCAGTGACACTTCTCTGCCCACATTCACCTGTACCTGCAGCTGCTCCCAGCAAACCAGGGGGCCTCAGCTCTGCCCAGATGCTCAGGCATCAGATTCCCACAAGCAAGTGAAACCCAGATCCCCAGCAAGCACAAGTGCAGCAGGAGCCGTGCTCCGCGCTCCCCCAAGTATCTTACAGGAGGTGGCGCTCAGGCGGTGCTGTAAACATGGTAGATGAGGGGCTACAAGTGGTTAAGAGTACGCACAAAACTGCACCAGCCTGCTACTTACCTCCTACTGTGGGTCTCAGCTCCTGACAGGCCACAACTGCTATCATAACCTGTTAGACCCCTGCTCTAGTGTGTGCCACCCATTGCATAGCAAATGACAGGATTTCATTCTTTATGGCTGAATACTGCTCCACTGTATGCGCGCGCACACACACCCCACACACACCCTGCGTTTTCTCTGGGCACCTGAACCAGATCCTGTACACTGGCCCTGGTGAATACTGCCATAATAAACACCGGTAAGCAGTGTCTCCTGGTAGACACTGACTTCATTTCCTTTGGCTATAACTCAGGACAGGATTTGCTGGATCATGCAGCAGTTCCATTTTTAGGTTCAGTTCAGTTTTTGTTGCCATTTTGTGGAGCTAGAAATGAAACCTAGGACTTCCTGTGTGCTAGGCAAGCGCTCTACCACTAAGTTAAAGCTCCAACCCCATTTTTAGTTGTCTTGTTCTCCTGTTTGTTTTGGGCAGAGATAGGACTTGAACTCGGACTTTTACACTGCACTACTGATTTTTCTGTTTTTGAGACAGGGTCTCACTAAGTTGCTAAGCTGCCAGGCTGAGGTCAAACTTGCAATCCTCCTGTCTTAGCTTCCCAAAATGTTAGGATTACAGACCTGCTGCATCAAGCCTGGCATTTTTAGTTTTTTGAAGAATTTTCAATACTGTTCTCCAGGAGAGGATATAGCTCAGTGGTATAAGCACCTGCTTGGCAAGCACAGGGTCCAGAGTTCAATCCCCAGTACCAGGAAACAAACAAACAAACAAACAAACAAAGAACCGACCAA